AAGAAAGGAAGGAAGGAAGGAAGGGAGGGAGGGAGGGAGGGAGGGAGGGAGGGAGGGAAAGAAAGAAAGAGAGAGAGAGAGAGAGAGAGAGAGAGAAAGGAAGGAAGGAAGGAAGGAAGGGGGGGAAGGGGGGGAGGGGGGGAGGGAGAGAGGGGAAAAGAAAAGAAAGCAAGCTACAGATAAATCTAACCAAAGAGATGAAAGATCTCTACAAGTAAAACTACAGAACAGTGGTGAAAGAAAGAGGACACAAACAAATGGAAAGATACACTATGCTCATGTATCAGAAGAATTAGTATTAATCAGAATGAACATATAGCCCAAAGCAATATACAGAATCAGTCTACTCCTTATCAAAACACCACTGTTATTTTTCACAGAAATAGAAAAAAAAAGTCCTAAAATTCATATGGAACCAAAAAAACCACCAGAATAGCCAAAGCAATCCTGAGCAAAATGAACAAAGATGGAGGCATCATACTACCTGATTTCAAAATATATTACAAGGCTATAGTAAACAAAACAGCACTGTATAGGTATGAAAGCAGACACATAAACCAACAGAACAGAAGAGAGAACCCAGAAATACATACATGTATTTACAGCCAACTGATTGTCAACAATGGTGTCAAGAACATACACTGAGGAAAGGATACCCTCTTCAATAAATGGTGCCAGGAAAATTGAATGTCCATATGCAGAAGAATGAAAATGGGCTCCAATCTTTCACCATATAAAAAATCAACTCAAAATGGATTAAAGACTTAAATATAAGAGCCGAAACTGTAAAAACCACTAGAAGAAAATACCGGAAAAACACTTCATGACATTGGTCTAAACAAAGATTTTATGGTTAAGACCTCAAAGGCACAGACAACTAACACAAAAATAGATAAATGTAACTACATTAAACTTAAAAGCTTCTACACAGCAAAGGAAATAAGAGAGTGAAGAGACAACATGTTGAAGGGGAGAAAATACCTATAATTTATTTATTTAACAAGGACTGATATCCCAAAAACATAAGGAATTCAAACGACTCAAAAAAAAAAAAAATCCCATTAAAAAGTTGGCAAAAAGGCTGGGCATGATGGCTCACACCTGTAATCCCAGCACTTTGAGAGGCCAAGGCAGGTGGATTACTAGGTCAGGAGATCAAGAACATCCTGGCCAACTTGGTAAAACCC